TTAACTGTCAGGACTACACAAGCTGCATTGTTCCAGGTTTCAGACTGTTGGCTGAAGGAGTCCCCTCCAGGCTGTTGGACATTATTATTAGATGGCAGAATTAAAATGTTGGCTCTGTTTCCCAGCTGTGTTAGATTACTGTAATCTATCTGTCCTCCGCATTGCTCTCTCACTGCTCAGACATCTTAAACATGGACTTTCATTCTGGCAGTAACCTGAAGAGAGTGCACTGACACAAGAGCAATTTACTTGGCTGTTCGCTCAGTGTTCCCTTTTTTGTCAAGACAGATGTCAATGTTTTTAAGGTCTCCTTCCTTCCCTGCCCAACCTCTCCTCCAGCTACAGCGTTCAGTGAAATCTTAATCCTGTATTTATGATGTCAGTGTGTTGCCATAGAAATGATTGTTATGTCACACATTCAAGCACTGTGGCCTCACGCTGGCATCTAAAAAGAGCATAAGGTGTGCGCTAAGAGACTCTGGCTGGGCCACAGTCTGAGTAGCTGGAGAGAAAGTGAGAGGAAGCTCAGTTTAAGCTACGAACTCGCTCTGGCATTTCCAGTTCATTTCCAGTTCCTGTTTAGCAAAGGATCTGGCCACATGCAGTTTAACAGTCTGTACGTTCCAAACTCTCTGCAACCAAACAAACACAGCACCTCCTCGGTATCCAACACAGTCTTAGACTGGCTTCTGATTGGAAAACCTGTTTTTTCCCCACATGATTAGTCACATCCCCAGCCAGGTTCAGCTGCACTTGACCTTCTAGCTGGGATTCTGAAAAGCACTGCTACAATTTAATTAAAAAAAAACAAACCATGACACTATTTGGCTCAGTTGACTCCTTAGGAGACAGCAGAGATGCAGGCCCCTGCCAAAGGGCCCCCAATCATCTATATACCCCATCACAGAAATCAAGCCTTGTTCAAACACACACTTCCATTTTTCTCTCCTGCTACAGTTCCTGCCCCATCCCATCTTACTGCAGCACAGGTCTACTTGTGGGTCTGCACTATGCTTAGTGTGTTGCCAACTCCAGCACTAGCCTGTAGGCCCCCCGTTTCTCATCGGTCAAATCTTCTGGACTATCATAAAAGGGCAAGGGCAGGACCTAGGCTATTGCCATGAGATAATACTACAGCTATCAGTGAGGATGCAGCTGATGTTGATGGTACAGCAAGCCCAGCGTAAATCTATGGTGATGGATGGGCCCAAACCCAATCCCCACATCTAAACACCATTGCATTTGAGGGAAGCTTGGATATGACTTTGTGGCTACTCCACTCTACAATGAGCCAGGGCAAAACCCTGCACTTTATATCCCCCCTCAGCTTTGGGGAAGTTTAGAGTCAAACTTTGCCATTAAGTAGACCATCTTTTAGAAATAAATATATAAAAATGACTTGGAGCACTGCCACATCTTCCCAGCACACGCTAAGCCATCTCCTTGCTGTAAGGAGTTCTTCTGAAGAGGTACTTTAATGAAGTAATGTTCTACACACTTTGGCAAAATCCTTCAGAGGAAGTACATAAATCCAGATGATGGGAAAATCTGACATCTCTGAATAGCATCAGGCTTTATACAAGAGTATGAACCTAAGGAAAGCATGGAAGCTTCATGTCATGGGGTTTACTCACTGCGGGGATGCCCCTTGTGGCTGTCTCTGGGGATTAGCTCTGCCTGGTCTGATATGCCACAGCCCCAGTTGCTCACTAGGAGTAACAGGGCTTCCTCTTCCTGGCTTGGCCCTCTGGCCAGGTCACTATGCAGTGTTCCCTTTCCGGGGTAGCCAAATTGTACCGGTCAACCTGCCCATGTGCCATCTCAGGCAGTCTTCTGTAAGTCCCGGGCTGTGCCACTTTCCCAGTAGCTGGTAGGGAAACCCAGGTCCACCCTCTACTCCAGGTTCCAGCCCAGGGACTCTGTCAGCAGCAACCAAGGTCTACACAATCTCAACACTCAAAGCTCTTTCCCATGGCTTCTTACTACTCTGCCTTCCACAGACTTTCTTCCCTGCAACTCCTCTGGATAAACCCTTTCTGGAGGGCTAGGATCCCAGGGCTTTTGCTCCCCGCCGGTTTCCTCCTACCCACCTCTCTCGGCCTGCAGCCCCCTTCTTCAGTTTTGTGGTGTAGCAGACTTGCTTCCTCAGCCTATGACTACCATACATTGTATCTTGTCCCTTTGTCATGACTTAGAGTTTCACACCTTCCCCAGTATTCTTAAAGAAATGCAGAAGAGCTTTTAAAAAAAAATTGGCCCCCATTTTCCTTGTATTCTTGATAGAAGTTGCAAAGAAAATTTTGTTACTCTGAGTTTTCTATATAAACATTTCCTTTCACAGGTATAGCCTTTGCAATCCCAAAGGATAGGATTTATCATTTTCTGGACCTTAAATGTTAGACATAATCCATTTTTGTGCATGTTAATTTGAACTAAATTACTATTTAATCCACAGTGCCCTGTTAGAATTCTAAATAGTCATTTCACTCTTCCTCTCACGGCCTTGGATTACATCAGCATTGTCAACTGTAGGGCATACTTAGCCCCCAGCTGCTCTAACTTGCTGGCTTTATACAAGCCGCTCCTGCTCCTGCCCAGCTGGGCTTTGTCTTCAATTAGTGCTTATCATTCAAGCCTGACTCTCCCCCAGGTGCAGCCTATAAGATTGATTGGACTGTTCTGAGCCACCTTAGCCTTTTCAGGGGTTGTGTGGGGGTAAACTCCCCATCATGTTTCAGGAGAAAATTGAGAAGATGGACAAATCAAGTAGCAAAAAATCTCTTAATGGGACACTTCCTACAGCCAAGTGTAGTTTCTAAGTGTCTCTCTGATGGGAACAGCTCAGTAACTGCCATCCAGCTATTGATGTGACATCTCAGGCAATGGAGGGTTTGCCCAGAAGGACTGCATGCAGTTTTTCACTGACCGTACCATTCCAGAGAAGGAGCAGGTGAATGGCTAACATTGCAATCTAAGGATAGAGTAGTAGTGGTGGAAGGGGTCGCTGGTGCTCTGCACCTTATGAGAGAAGATTCCATCCAATCCACAGGGCTTCTAAGAGAAAACCCTGCACCAAGCCCTTTCATGTAGGCTGGGCCCAAAATACAAGATTGAACCCCTTGAAAAAGGTACTTTGCATGTGGTGGATCCAAGTGAAGACCGCTGAGGGGGTGGTGTCATTATGATCAAATGCTAGGGCCACTGCAGTCAACGGAGAAGCTTTGTGGTTTCCAGTGGGACCAGGATTTGACTTGTAATGCAAGATGCTAATTTGTAATCTGCAGCCTGAAAAGCCTAAAAAGTAGGTTGTGCTTTTATGGCAATATGTGAAATGCCCTCTCTTTTTTTTTTTTTTTTTCTTCTTTAATACAAGAATATATCATTTGCAAAATATTTGGCTATTGTGCTCAGATAACTCTGCACTTTTATATCACCTTTCATCCTAGTGTCTCAAATCATGTTACAAATAGTTAAGCCTCATATCATCTTAGAGAGATTGTTATTATACACATTTTACAGCAGGGGAAACTGAGGCACTGAGAAGTTGTAATGTACCTGAGGGCAATATCTAATAAGAACTAGGATTAGAAGCTGGGAATCCTGACACCCAATCATTGACTCTAACCAATGGCCTACAGCCCCTCCTCATGCACAACTGTATGTGAATAGATGTATCATTACTATGGCAGGCATCTTTTGTAGTATACTCTATTTCTAAAGACCCACAAAGATTCTGTATAATATCCAGTGACTCTGTATTGTGCAGCTGAGGCCTAAGATGTCTGAATATATGTTGCAGCCTTACATCAGATTTTCTTGCCTACTCTGGTTTTAGATCTTAACCATATTTACACATGTTCTGATCTCTGCTCCCCTTCTTTCCCGCCCATTTGATACTGTAATTTGTCATCATGGACTTTAGTTTTAAGAAATGATTTTATTTTTAAATAAAAATCAACATTCTCACTTTTATTCATAGTACAGATGCAATTAAAATTGTCATGAAACTCCATAGGTTAATAAGAGAACAAGGGCAATCTGCCATATGGCATATGGGTTGGTTAGTGACCCATGCTTTGAAGGGTTCCTCACAGATAAGCCAAAGAAAATGGGTTTTATTTTTTTCTCATTATTTCTCGATAAGCTTACCTCCCAGTAACCCCATCAGAGGTGATTTGGATGAGTTTATGCAGCTGAATGTAACTGATGGCACACCTTGAGTCTCATGCCTGCTTTCTGACAGACTCTTCTGTTCCTTCATGCAAGTAAACATGACTCTTGGACAATCTGGGCTAGATGTATGGAAACAATCGAGAGAAGATAATTCTCACTTTCCAAGTATTACTAAATCAAGTTAATTATATTTATGAAAAATGTGTGTGAATGTAAAGTTTACTTTGGAACAAATAAATAGAACTATTGGCCATTTCTAATGGTTTCCTATTTATTAAAAAACTGGTTCACAGGCCCTTAACTCATACTGTTTGTTCATAGGGTGCCTTATTAACCTCTGAGCATCTGAATGAAAACTGAAAATAGCAATTACCAGAAATGAGTGCATAAAAGCCCCAGAACCAGTATAAAATGTACACAGCATTATGATGATGTATTTCTATAGCACGTAGGGTGTGTTAGGTGTGTGTATATGCAGCACTGCTTGTATGTCTAGATTGCTGTTTGTTCTGTGGGCGCATGTGCTGTGCTCCGTATCCTCCTGCGTGTGTGTTTCTGGATGGTGTGTGTGTTGTGCCTGTATGTATACTGTGTTGTATGCATGTCTGTGCATGTGCTCTGCGGGCACTGTTCTCTGCATTACGTGGGAGGTGCATAAACACACTGTGTACGCCTGTGTGCACATGTGCATGACTGTGTGCTCGGTGCGCGTTAGCTGCATGTGTGTGCACTGCGTGTGTGTCTGGGTTGGCTGGTAGTGCATGCAGTGGGCTGGCTGCCGTGGGAAAAGCCGAGCTCCCAGCGGCAGCAGCAGGAGCGGGGCTGGCTGCAGGCTGGCGGAAGTGTTTGTCAGCAGCAGTGGGCAGCAGAGCTCCGCTGGCTTTGTGTTTGTTTCCTCTCTCACACGCGCCCAGGGAGCGGGGAAGATGGCAGGGCCCCGGGAACAGCTGTCAGCCGCCGAGGACCAGCTCCACAGCTAGCGCCATTGACGCTGGAAGATGCGATTGCAGGGGCCGCGGGGTGAGAGCAGGAGCCCAGCGAGGCGAGTGAGCCCCGGAACAGCAGGGAGCCCCAGCCCCGCTTCTTGCAGCAGATGCGGCAGCCTCCGCGCTTCCCTGGCGTGCACCGCGTTCGGGGGGGTCCGACATTAATCACCCGGCCGCGGCTCGCCGAGCCGGACTCGCAGACCAACTTCCCCGGGGACGGACAGCGCGAGTCCCCTGACCTGCAGGGAAGATGAGGTGAGTGGGGCCGGGGGGAGGCGACGGATCCCCCCTCCCCACACCCCGCCCAGCGGGACCCAGCAGCGGGCTGGCTTGGGGAGGCAGCTCGGGGGCGGCTGATCGCCATGGCAGGAGCGTCCCATCTGGCGTCCGATCCTCCCACGGGCGGCCGGGGGGAGAACCCGTGCGCCCGGCTGCAGCCCCGCCTCTGCCCGGCTGGGTGGCTGCTCGGGTAGCTCCCCCCAGCTCGGTTGCCAGGCGTGTGTTTCCCGGGGGCCGCGTGTCCCCGGCCCCGCTGCCATGGCTGCTGCCGCCTGGTTCCTCCCACCTGGCTGGGCTGCGCGCGTATCCCCGGGGGGGCTCGCCTGGGCTCGGCCCCCCTCGCCCTGCCCGGGCACGCCGGGCTGCGAGCTCCGTTCCCCGCCCCCGGACACGCACCTGGCTCGCTGCGCGGCGGGGGAGGCTGTCGGCTCAGGGGTGGGGGCAGACGTGCTGCCGGATCCACGCGGGTCATTCATTCGCCTGTGATTCATGAAAGCGGGTGACTGGCGAGGTTGCCGGGGTGGAGGCTGGATCTGTGTGCTGGGGCGCTTGGAGCAGGGCAAGAATAATGGGGGGGGGGTCCTGGATCCTCCCCATCCTCACTCCGACAGCCCCACCCCAGGGTGTAACACAGTTGCTCTCACTCGCACTGCACTTACTTGGCTCAGTGTTTGTGCAGGGGGAGGGGACCCCTCGAGACCCCCCCCCCCACCGAATTTGGGGGGGATTTCCAGTGGGCGACTTTGTTTGTTTGTTTGTTAGTTAGCTGTCTCGCAAGGACTGGTGTAACTTGCTGCCCTTTGGGGGAAGCGGGGGGGTTTCCTGCACAGGGGGAGGAGGTTAAGCAGCGCTGCGCCTCCTTGTCCTTCCCCGGATGGATAATACTAGTGGGTGGTGACATCTTTGGCATGTTTGACTGTCATTACTTTAAATCCGTAGGACAGATTATGTCAGTGGTTATAAAAGGCTGCAGGCGGGTTTGAAAATAGTGCAGCAGCACAGAGCCGGGAATCTCCAACGCTGATGTTTGGGTAGCACACTCCAGCTTCTGCCGAGGCTCATCTTCCCTTGCCCTCTGGGCTGCAGGCCAGCGTGTAAGATTGTAAAAGAGCTTCAGGGAAGCAGAGAAAGTGCACCCTTGACAGATTCCAGCGTAGATCCTTCCTGATCATGCAGAGACCTCCCTCTAGCAGTGGGAGCTGGCCAGATTGCTGTAGGTTTTTCCAGGGCAGTTGGGCTATCGTGACTCTTAGGAGCAGAGAACATAGATTTCATGTAATCAGAACAGAGCTGGAAGGAAGAGGAGGTCATCTATTTCTAGACCGTAATTCCTCCCTCCCCCCCAGCAGTGCAGGAGTTCAGTCTCCTTGTAAATGTCTCAAAGCAATGTGTCTTCCACTGTTTTCCCCATCCCACGGTATAATACTGTTGATTCCTTCTGCTTCATCATCTCCTCTGTTTAATAAAGCACTCTGGCTTGCCTCAGGAATGGGAATCACAATCAAAGACCAAATTGTCTTCTGTTCTGTGTCTTTGGTGACTTTTGTATTGCTCATAAGAAAGACACTAGAATTTTAAAAACTTTCCCCATAGGGCACTCATTATATGCAGCTATGTCATGCTTCAAATAGTCTCTTTAAAACTATTTTTTTTCTTTGGAGAGAAATTTGTTTTGCTTTCTTAAGTGGGTAAGTTTGTTTGTATTTTGAAAGGTGTCCATTGTTGACTCTTTTGGATACAATCATATTTTAATAGCTACCATGGAGATTAGTATAAATACTGAATTGGTTAAATCAGATACACCTCTACCCTGATATAATGCGACCCGATATAACACGAATTCGGATATAACGCAGTAAAGCAGCGCTCCGGCGGATCAAAGCAAGTTCGTTATAACGCGGTTTCATCTATAACACGGTAAGATTTTTTTTTTTTTTTTTGGCTCCCGAGGACAGCATTATATCGGAGTAGAGGTGTATATACACATTTACTGGCAGGTTCTATCTAACTTATTTTATTCTTCCCTGCTCAGAAGGCAGAGAAAACCCACTTAAATACATTTTGAGTATAAAATTCTCCTCCTATAAATGTAGGTTGTATTACTCCAAGAGATCCTGGCAGACTCTGCAATCATTTAATAAAAACCTTCAAGAATTTTTCTATACGTGTATTTTTATTTATATTGCTTTTCAGTGGTGAATAGATTACAATACCTTTATTTGCACTGAAATGAAATGTTTCTCAGTTTGAAGTAAAAACTTGACTGTATATTTTAATTTTTCCTTTGTGTCCTCAGTTTTGTCTCATTCCAAAGAGATAAGCTAGAACGTAACATATGAATAGTGAGCATGCATATATCATGGCTTACCTATTTATAATTTGTTTTCTCACTGTCTGATAAAAGTGCTTTGAAATCCTCCAAAGATAGATGCTATATAAGTGCAAAGTATTATTATTACTTATTCAGTACTTAAACGTGCAGAAATATTACCTCCCACTCTACAATGAATATTGCTAGTTTTTTTAATAGCAGATTTTATTTACTTTTGCAAGCTTCATGCAGTTATATCATTTTACAGAAATACATCTATAAACATAATCTTTTCATGTTCTGGCAATCTTTGTATAGTTTCCTCCCTATTCGTTAATCTTCAGTATGGCTTATAAAACACCTCCTTGTGTTTGAGAGGCAGCCACAATAGAAATACCTGGAGCCGGCCATAGTATTTTGGGGTGGGTCTGTGGAACAATTTTTCCCCTTTGCCCACCCAAGTAGCTAACTTATGTCCACCTCGATCATACCACTGTACACATGGCTACATGTTATACACCAGTTGAGAGGGCTAGACCTCAACCTATGTAATCGGGTTTTATCCAAAAATGGGTACTGAGAAGCTGCACCTCCTTATTAACAGTGAGGGTGATTTAGCCATTGGAACAAACTACTGAGGGAAGTGATAAACTTTACATCTCTCGAAGTCCTCAAAACAAGACTGGATGCCTTTCTGGAAGACGTGTGCTTGACTAAAGTATATTAGCTTCAATATGGAGGTAACTGGGTGAAATTCTATCGCCTGTATTAGACAGGAGGTCAGACTAGATGATCTAATGGGTCTCTTCTGGCCTTAAAATCTATGAATCTCTCTAGACTTCTGTTGCAGAAGTGGTGCCGGCTTGTGCTGAGTTGCCTACTTAAAAATCCCAGGAAGATGCCATATCTAGGTATAGAGCTTTGTGTTTTTCACCAAAGTGAAATAAAACAAATGGACGTACATAACAAAAACTCACCCTGCAGTGATGGCTCCTGGTCACAGGGCCATTCACATGTGTCCTGGCCACCCCCTTGTCATGATGGAGGGGCAGCGGGGCCAAATTTGAGCGAGCAGCATTGCAACCTGATGACAGAAGTCTCAGTCCCTCCCCACCCCTGGTTCTCCCACCCCTGCCAGGGGCAAGATCCAACCCTTCCCTCTCCTCCTCCCCCAGGGCATCCTGTGCTCTGGGGCAGAACCCAGCCCCTCCGCCCCCATGATGAAAAAGAGAAAACAATAACATGAAATTCCTAAAAATAAAACAAAAAATTATCCCCCCTCCCCCCCCGCCAAAATCACCGGGCTCTATCTATGTGCATCCCTAATGTGAAGGGATGAAACCAACCTACTGCCCTGGGACAAACGGAACCAAATATGCATATAGTAACCATGTACAGTAGTAAGAGTGTGCATCATGAGCTTTTTAATCCAATAGTTTTGATTGAAGATTTACCTGAGCGAAGTCTTGACATTGTTGCAATAAACCCAGCATTTCAATTATCTTATTGCCCTCTCATTTCTACTCATTTAGCAGTTCATGTGGCAGCATATATATAGTTGCCAGCACTTTTAGTCTGATGTAAAGAGAGCTGTATATGCAGCTTAGTTTTAATGTTTGCTTTATTTATTTGCTGTAAATTCCTTTGTTTTGCCCACATAACAATCAGGATTATAATCACAGAAAAGGAGAGTGTGCTGGTTTTTGTATATCATCTTGTTTTTTAATTGCCTTATTTGATCAGACCAACAGGTCCATCTAGTCCAGTATCTTGTCTCTGTCAGTGGCTAGTACCATGTGCTTCAGAGGAAGGAGCAAAAAAACCCCAAATGGGTAATCGTGTAACAACCTGCCTGTAGAGGAAGTTTCTTCTGTCCCTATCGGTTAGTAATTGACTTAACCCCTGAAGCAGGAGTTTGTAGCCTTTCCAAACTTTGTTTTAATCCTATCTACTGTAACTGTGGTGTTCTCATTGTCTATATAAATGTCCCTTTGTTTTTTAGTCCTGCTAAGGTTTTTGCTTCAATGATACCTTTTGATAAATGAGTTCCACAGGCTAATTACGAGGGAGAGCGGGTGGTAAGCAGTAGAATTTCCTTTTTATTAGTTTTAGATTTGCTGCCTTACAGTTTATTGGAATATTCTTTTATTAAGAGTAAGGATGAGCAAAAGAGTCTGTTATGCCTTTTCTATACTGATTCTTCTTTTTCATCTCTTCTCTAAACTGAGAAGACTGGAAGTATTTAATCTCTCTTCACATGGAGTTGTTCTCCCCCCCCCCCATACTGCTAATTATTTACATCACTTGTCTCTGAAATCCTATTTCTGCTATATCCTTTTTTGAGAGAGCATGTCCAGAACTGAACACCCGTCCAAGTGAGGGTATACCACTGATGTACATGCTGCCATTATCATATTTCATTCCATTCCTTACGCACTGTAGCGTTTTGTTTGTTTTTTTTGACTGATGCTGCTTACTGTGCAGTGGTTTTAATAGAGCTGCCCATGGCTTATTCAGAGTTGTTAGTTAATGTAGATTGTATCAATGGTTAAAATTATTCCTTCCGTTGTTCATTGCTCTCCCATCATGATGTTACCTGTTGACCTGGCTTTATTCGGTCCCTCTGGAGTTCCTCACAGTTTTTTCCAGTTCTGACTAACTTAAA